TGGATTTGTTCCATATTTGGTCTTAAGCATCCTTGGGTGAAAGGGAACCAATTTTGTATAAACCGTGGATCTGGCTCCCCAGGTGCTTGAGGGGTGGGGCCCAATAGGGGAAACATAGCAAATTATACTTTATAATCCTTCTTCTTTTGTAGGAATGAAAGGATTTGGTCCATATTTGGTGTGGATCAACATCCTTGGGTAAAGGGGAACCAATTTTGTATAAACGGTGGGTGTGGCCCCCATGGGACCTGAAGGGTGGGGCCCAATAGGGGAAATAGATGTAAATCTTCAAAATCCTTTATCTTCGGTAGGAATGACAGGATTTTGTCCATATTTGGTCTGAAGCATTCTTGGGTGAAGGGGAACCAATTTTGTATAAACGGTGTGTCTGACCCCCCTGTAGGCAGAGAGGCGGGGCCTAAATATAGGTAAAACCTTTAAAATCCTTCTTCTACCATAAAGATTAAGGGATTTAATCCTAATTTAGTCTGGAGCATCCTTGGGCCAAGGGGACTCAATTTTGTATAATTGGTGGGCATGACCCCCCTAGGTTGCATAGGGGGGGGGCTCTGTTTGAAGTTTGTTCTCACTATATCTCATGTACTGTATGGATCTTTCTGAAATTTCATATGTACTTACAGCACCTACTTCATACCAATTATTTTAAACATATTCAGGTGAGCGATACAGGCCCTCTGGGCCTCTTGTTTTGTAGAGAGGTTCCAAATATGGGAAATTAATGACTGGGGAAACTTTAGTGTGGGAGAGGAGCATGATATATTTATTTCTCCATCATGTGATCCATGTTATCCAACCAGAAGCTTTATTTCCCCATTATGTCATCAATATAGTCCAATCAGAAGCTTTATTTACCCATCTTGTGATCAATGTAATCCAATCAGAAGCTTTATTTCCCCATTATGTCATCCATTCCAAATAATCCAATCAGAAGCTTTATTTCTCTATCATGTGATCCATGTTATCCAATCAGATGCTTTATTTCCCCATCTTGGGATCCTTGTAATCCAATCAGAAGCTTTGTTTTCCCATCATGTGATCCAAATAATCCAATGAGAAGCTTTATTTCCCTATCATGTAATCCATGTTATCCAATCAGATGCTTTATATCCCCATCATGTGATCCATGTACTCAAATCAGAAGCTTTATTTTCCCATCATGTGATTCATGTTATCCAATTAGAAGCTTTATTTCCCCATCATGTGATCCATGTTATTCAATCAGAAGCTTTATTTACCCATTTTGTGATCAATGTAATCCAATCAGAAGCTTTTATTTCCCCATTATGTGATCAATGTAATCCAATCAGAAGGTTTATTTCTTGCCTTGTAATCCATGTAATCCAATGAGAAGCTTTACTTTCCCATCAGGTGATCCATATAATTCAATCAGAAGCTTTATTTCCCCATCATGTGATTCATGTTATCCAATCAGAAGCTTTATTTACCCATCTTGTAATCCATGTAATCCAATCAGAAGCTTTATTTCCCCATCATGTGATCCATGTAATCCAATCAGAAGCTTTGTTTTCTCATCATGTGATCCATGTAATCCAATCAGAAGCTTTGTTTTCTCATCATGTGATCCATGTAATCCAATCAGAAGCTTTGTTTTCTCATCATGTGATCCATGTAATCCAATCAGAAGCTTTATTTCTCTATCATGTGATCCATGTTATCCAATCAGATGCTTTATTTCCCCGTCTTGGGATTATGTGATCAATGTAATCCAATCAGAAGGTTTATTTCTTGCCTTGTAATCCATGTAATCCTATGAGAAGCTTTACTTTCCCATCACGTGATCCATATAATTCAATCAGAAGCTTTATTTCCCCATCATGTGATGCATGTTATCCAATCAGAAGCTTTATTTACCCATCTTGTAATCCATGTAATCCAATCAGAAGCTTTATTTCCCCATCATGTGATCCATGTTATTCAATCAGAAGCTTTATTTACCCATTTTGTGATCAATGTAATCCAATCAGAAGCTTTTATTTCCCCATTATGTGATCAATGTAATCCAATCAGAAGGTTTATTTCTTGCCTTGTAATCCATGTAATCCAATGAGAAGCTTTACTTTCCCATCACGTGATCCATATAATTCAATCAGAAGCTTTATTTCCCCATCATGTGATTCATGTTATCCAATTAGAAGCTTTATTTCCCCATCATGTGATCCATGTTATCCAATCAGAAACTTTATTTCCCCATTTTGTGATCAATGTAATCCAATCAGAAGCTTTATTTCCCCATCATGTGATCCATGTTATCCAATCAGAAACTTTATTTCCCCATTTTGTGATCAATGTAATCCAATCAGAAGCTTTTATTTTCCCATCTTGTGATCAATGTTATCCAATCAGACGCTTTATTTTCCCATCATGTGATTCATGTTATCCGATTAGAAGCTTTATTTACCCATCATGTGATCCATGTTATCCAATCAGAAGCTTTATTTACCCATCTTGTAATCCATGTAATCCAATCAGAAGCTTTATTTTCCCATCACGTGATCCATATGATCCAATCAGAAGCTTTATTTCCCCATCATGTGATTCATGTTATTTCCCCATCTTGTTATCCATGTAATCCAATCAGAAGCTTTGTTTTCCCATCATGTGATCCAAATAATCCAATAAGAAGCTTTATTTCCCTATCATGTAATCCATGTTTTCCAATCAGATGCTTTATTTCCCCATCATGTGATCAATGTACTCAAATCAGAAGCTTTATTTTCCCATCATGTGATTCATGTTATCCAATCAGAAACTTTATTTACCCATTTTGTGATCAATGTTATCCAATCAGAAGCTTTTATTTCCCCATAATGTGATCAATGTAATCCAATCAGAAGCTTTATTTCTTGTCTTGTTATCCATGTAATCCAATCAGAAGCTTTACTTTCCCATCACGTGATCCATATAATCCAATCAGAAGCTTTATTTACCTATCTTGTAATCCATGTAATCCAATCAGAAGCTTTATTTCCCCATCTTGTGATCAATGTACTCCAATCAGAAGCTTTATTTCCCCAGCATGTGATCCATGTACTCCAAAAAGAAGCTTTATTTCCCCATCATGTGATCCATGTAATCCAATCAGAAGCTTTATTTCCCCATTATGTGATCCATGTAATCCAATCAGAAGCTTTATTTACCCATCTTGTGATCAATGTACTCCAAACAGAAGCTTTATTTCCCCATCATGTGATCCATGTAATCCAATCAGAAGCTTTGTTTTCTCATCATGTGATCCATGTAATCCAATCAGAAGCTTTATTTCTCTATCATGGGGTCCATGTTATCCAATCAGATGCTTTATTTCCCCATCTTGGGATCAATGTAATCCAATCAGAAGCTTTGTTTTCCCATCATGTGATCCAAATAATCCAATGAGAAGCTTTATTTCCCTATCATGTAATCCATGTTATCCAACCAGATGCTTTATATCCCCATCATGTGATCAATATACTCAAATCAGAAGCTTTATTTTCCCATCATGTGATTCATGTTATCCACTCAGAAGCTTTATTTACCCATCTTGTAATCCATGTAATCCAATCAGAAGCTTTATTTCCCCATCATGTGATTCATGTTATCCAATCAGAAGCTTTATTTACCCATCTTGTAATCCATGTAATCCAATCAGAAGCTTTATTTCCCCATCATGTGATCCATGTAATCCAATCAGAAGCTTTATTTCTCTATCATGGGGTCCATGTTATCCAATCAGATGCTTTATTTCCCCGTCTTGGGATCAATGTAATCCAATGAGAAGCTTTGTTTTCCCATCATGTGATCCAAATAATCCAATGAGAAGCTTTATTTCCCTATCATGTAATCCATGTTATCCAATCAGATGCTTTATATCCCCATCATGTGATCAATATAGTCCAATCAGAAGCTTTATTTCCCCATTATGTGGTCAATGTAATCCAATCAGAAGCTTTATTTCTTGTCTTGTAATCCATTTAATCCAATCAGATGCTTTATATCCCCATCATGTGATCAATGTACTCAAATCAGAAGCTTTATTTTCCCATCATGTGATTCATGTTATCCAATCAGAAACTTTATTTACCCATTTTGTGATCAATGTAATCCAATCAGAAGCTTTTATTTCCCCATTATGTGATCAATGTAATCCAATCAGAAGCTTTATTTCTTGTCTTGTAATCCATGTAATCCAATGAGAAGCTTTACTTTCCCATCACGTGATTCATATAATTCAATCAGAAGCTTTATTTCCCCATCATGTGATTCATGTTATCCAATCAGAAACTTTATTTACCCATTTTGTGATCAATGTAATCCAATCAGAAGCTTTTATTTCCCCATTATGTGATCAATGTACTCCAAACAGAAGCTTTATTTCCCCATCATGTGATCCATGTAATCCAATCAGAAGCTTTATTTCCCCATTATGTGATCAATGTACTCCAAACAGAAGCTTTATTTCCCCATCATGTGATCCATGTAATCCAATCAGAAGCTTTATTTCCCCATTATGTGATCAATGTACTCCAAACAAGCTTTATTTCCCCATTATGTGATCAATGTACTCCAAACAGAAGCTTTATTTCCCCATTATGTGATCAATGTACTCCAAACAGAAGCTTTATTTCCCCATTATGTGATTAATGTACTCCAAACAGAAGCTTTATTTCCCCATCATGTGATCAATGTACTCCAAACAGAAGCTTTATTTCCCCATTATGTGATCAATGTAATCCAAACAGAAGCTTTATTTCCCCATTATGTGATCAATGTAATCCAATCAGACATGCTATTATATAGATGAAGTACAGTATGAGTGATTGAGTGTTAGGACATGTTCCACTATAGCATTTTTTTAATTGCAAATCTTGTTTAAGGGATGTGGGTATTCTTAAAAAAGAAAAAATGCAGTTACTGACTATTAAAAAGCATTGTGTGATCTTAAAAATGACTATTTTAACTGATACGTCATTGTTCCACAGGATGTATATGAGGACCCCGACAATCCCACTTCCTCACAACCCCCTCCCCCTCCACGTGGTGGCAGACGTGTAATTCCAACACCTCAACCAACACAGAATACTCGCAGACCTGCAACTTTGCCGGTCAATGAGCCGGAGGTATGTTATCATTGTTCATTGTGACACATTATCTTGTATATTTGTGTTAAATGAAAATCTAGATCAGTGTTATATAAATATTCAATTATATATAGCTGTCTTTGAAAGTCTTATTCTGTATATCAAATGTTAGGATGTGGCCATATTTGCAAGGTATATCATTGTTTAGATTTTTTCAAATAATGGAAAGATAAAATATATACATGAAGATTCATGCAAAATATTGGAAAAAGATTTGCATCAGTTTGTATAAATGTTACAGTATTTAAACTTTGCAAAAAATGCCATATAAATGACCGTATTTGACCTAATAAAGGTGCATGCCCTGATAAGTATGCTCCAACCCTTTTTCTGAAGAAAGAGAAAGAGTACTGTGCTGGGTGGCAACCAGTCATCTTTAATATTTCTAGGATACTTTGAAATATTTTGAAAAATATATGTTGTATAATGTCATCATGAAATAGCAAGCATGTGGTTGTAATGATTTGTTTTCATCAAGAGGAACACAACACTTTTGAAAAACCCATTTATCACACGTTTAATAGTTTTGTTGATGATTTGTATAACAAATACACCCACTTGTTGCTCAATATGCTGTAACAAAGTGTATTCATTTGACTATTTAACATTTTATATGCTGAGTATCCCATCTCTGTGCTAAAATACTGTGAAAATTTAGTTTCTTCAGATGTCTAGATTGCAAAATTATGATCTGTGTAAATTTGGGATTTTCTAATTTTGGGTGAAAATCGCACAAATAACCAATTATGCATTATCTCTGTTACCATATCAAGGAAGTTGGAATCCAAAGTCTATAACTACACTACATCATGAACACAAAAGAAACCTGATTTTTTTTCAGGCATATGACAGGAATATTTATCGAGAATCGGTAAATATGTGACCAATGTCGGTCTGGGGAATTAGTACTCAAGTCCGTTTCCAGTTCATTTCTTTATTGTTGCCAACTTCCAGTTCCTACTTCTGCATACCATTGCTAGCACCTTCTATCTTAGCTCACTTTCAATCCTGATCTATTCTGGCTCACTTTCCATCTCCCAACTCTGACTCTGTTCTGCCTCTCTGTACTTCCGTCTGCCTTCTCTGTACCTCCGTCTGCCTTCTCTGTACCTCAGTCTGCCTTCTCTGTACCTCAGTCTGGCATCTCTGTACCTCAGTCTGCCTTCTCTGTACCACAGTCTGCCTTCTCTGTACCTCAGTCTGCCTTCTCTGTACCTCAGTCTGGCATCTCTGTACCTCAGTCTGCCTTCTCTGTACCACAGTCTGCCTTCTCTGTACCTCAGTCTGCCTTCTCTGTACCTCAGTCTGCCTTCTCTGTACCTCAGTCTGCCTTCTCTGTACCTCAGTCTGCCTTCTCTGTACCTCAGTCTGCCTTCTCTGTACCTCAGTCTGCCTTCTCTGTACCTCAGTCTGCCTTCTCTGTACCTCAGTCTGCCTTCTCTGTACCTCAGTCTGCCTTCTCTGTACCTCAGTCTGCCTTCTCTGTACCTCAGTCTGCCTTCTCTGTACCTCAGTCTGCCTTCTCTGTACCTCAGTCTGCCTTCTCTGTACCTCAGTCTGCCTTCTCTGTACCTCAGTCTGCCTTCTCTGTACCTCAGTCTGCCTTCTCTGTACCTCAGTCTGCCTTCTCTGTACCTCAGTCTGCCTTCTCTGTACCTCAGTCTGCCTTCTCTGTACCTCAGTCTGCCTTCTCTGTACCTCAGTCTGCCTTCTCTGTACCTCAGTCTGCCTTCTCTGTACCTCAGTCTGCCTTCTCTGTACCTCAGTCTGCCTTCTCTGTACCTCAGTCTGCCTTCTCTGTACCTCAGTCTGCCTTCTCTGTACCTCAGTCTGCCTTCTCTGTACCTCAGTCTGCCTTCTCTGTACCTCAGTCTGCCTTCTCTGTACCTCAGTCTGCCTTCTCTGTACCTCAGTCTGCCTTCTCTGTACCTCAGTCTGCCTTCTCTGTACCTCAGTCTGCCTTCTCTGTACCTCAGTCTGCCTTCTCTGTACCTCAGTCTGCCTTCTCTGTACCTCAGTCTGCCTTCTCTGTACCTCAGTCTGCCTTCTCTGTACCTCAGTCTGCCTTCTCTGTACCTCAGTCTGCCTTCTCTGTACCTCAGTCTGCCTTCTCTGTACCTCAGTCTGCCTTCTCTGTACCTCAGTCTGCCTTCTCTGTACCTCAGTCTGCCTTCTCTGTACCTCAGTCTGCCTTCTCTGTACCTCAGTCTGCCTTCTCTGTACCTCAGTCTGCCTTCTCTGTACCTCAGTCTGCCTTCTCTGTACCTCAGTCTGCCTTCTCTGTACCTCAGTCTGCCTTCTCTGTACCTCAGTCTGCCTTCTCTGTACCTCAGTCTGCCTTCTCTGTACCTCAGTCTGCCTTCTCTGTACCTCAGTCTGCCTTCTCTGTACCTCAGTCTGCCTTCTCTGTACCTCAGTCTGCCTTCTCTGTACCTCAGTCTGCCTTCTCTGTACCTCAGTCTGCCTTCTCTGTACCTCAGTCTGCCTTCTCTGTACCTCAGTCTGCCTTCTCTGTACCTCAGTCTGCCTTCTCTGTACCTCAGTCTGCCTTCTCTGTACCTCAGTCTGCCTTCTCTGTACCTCAGTCTGCCTTCTCTGTACCTCAGTCTGCCTTCTCTGTACCTCAGTCTGCCTTCTCTGTACCTCAGTCTGCCTTCTCTGTACCTCAGTCTGCCTTCTCTGTACCTCAGTCTGCCTTCTCTGTACCTCAGTCTGCCTTCTCTGTACCTCAGTCTGCCTTCTCTGTACCTCAGTCTGCCTTCTCTGTACCTCAGTCTGCCTTCTCTGTACCTCAGTCTGCCTTCTCTGTACCTCAGTCTGCCTTCTCTGTACCTCAGTCTGCCTTCTCTGTACCTCAGTCTGCCTTCTCTGTACCTCAGTCTGCCTTCTCTGTACCTCAGTCTGCCTTCTCTGTACCTCAGTCTGCCTTCTCTGTACCTCAGTCTGCCTTCTCTGTACCTCAGTCTGCCTTCTCTGTACCTCAGTCTGCCTTCTCTGTACCTCAGTCTGCCTTCTCTGTACCTCAGTCTGCCTTCTCTGTACCTCAGTCTGCCTTCTCTGTACCTCAGTCTGCCTTCTCTGTACCTCAGTCTGCCTTCTCTGTACCTCAGTCTGCCTTCTCTGTACCTCAGTCTGCCTTCTCTGTACCACAGTCTGCCTTCTCTGTACCTCAGTCTGCCTTCTCTGTACCTCAGTCTGCCTTCTCTGTACCTCAGTCTGCCTTCTCTGTACCTCAGTCTGCCTTCTCTGTACCTCAGTCTGCCTTCTCTGTACCTCAGTCTGCCTTCTCTGTACCTCAGTCTGCCTTCTCTGTACCTCAGTCTGCCTTCTCTGTACCTCAGTCTGCCTTCTCTGTACCTCAGTCTGCCTTCTCTGTACCTCAGTCTGCCTTCTCTGTACCTCAGTCTGCCTTCTCTGTACCTCAGTCTGCCTTCTCTGTACCTCAGTCTGCCTTCTCTGTACCTCAGTCTGCCTTCTCTGTACCTCAGTCTGCCTTCTCTGTACCTCAGTCTGCCTTCTCTGTACCTCAGTCTGCCTTCTCTGTACCTCAGTCTGCCTTCTCTGTACCTCAGTCTGCCTTCTCTGTACCTCAGTCTGCCTTCTCTGTACCTCAGTCTGCCTTCTCTGTACCTCAGTCTGCCTTCTCTGTACCTCAGTCTGCCTTCTCTGTACCTCAGTCTGCCTTCTCTGTACCTCAGTCTGCCTTCTCTGTACCTCAGTCTGCCTTCTCTGTACCTCAGTCTGCCTTCTCTGTACCTCAGTCTGCCTTCTCTGTACCTCAGTCTGCCTTCTCTGTACCTCAGTCTGCCTTCTCTGTACCTCAGTCTGCCTTCTCTGTACCTCAGTCTGCCTTCTCTGTACCTCAGTCTGCCTTCTCTGTACCTCAGTCTGCCTTCTCTGTACCTCAGTCTGCCTTCTCTGTACCTCAGTCTGCCTTCTCTGTACCTCAGTCTGCCTTCTCTGTACCTCAGTCTGCCTTCTCTGTACCTCAGTCTGCCTTCTCTGTACCTCAGTCTGCCTTCTCTGTACCTCAGTCTGCCTTCTCTGTACCTCAGTCTGCCTTCTCTGTACCTCAGTCTGCCTTCTCTGTACCTCAGTCTGCCTTCTCTGTACCTCAGTCTGCCTTCTCTGTACCTCAGTCTGCCTTCTCTGTACCTCAGTCTGCCTTCTCTGTACCTCAGTCTGCCTTCTCTGTACCTCAGTCTGCCTTCTCTGTACCTCAGTCTGCCTTCTCTGTACCTCAGTCTGCCTTCTCTGTACCTCAGTCTGCCTTCTCTGTACCTCAGTCTGCCTTCTCTGTACCTCAGTCTGCCTTCTCTGTACCTCAGTCTGCCTTCTCTGTACCTCAGTCTGCCTTCTCTGTACCTCAGTCTGCCTTCTCTGTACCTCAGTCTGCCTTCTCTGTACCTCAGTCTGCCTTCTCTGTACCTCAGTCTGCCTTCTCTGTACCTCAGTCTGCCTTCTCTGTACCTCAGTCTGCCTTCTCTGTACCTCAGTCTGCCTTCTCTGTACCTCAGTCTGCCTTCTCTGTACCTCAGTCTGCCTTCTCTGTACCTCAGTCTGCCTTCTCTGTACCTCAGTCTGCCTTCTCTGTACCTCAGTCTGCCTTCTCTGTACCTCAGTCTGCCTTCTCTGTACCTCAGTCTGCCTTCTCTGTACCTCAGTCTGCCTTCTCTGTACCTCAGTCTGCCTTCTCTGTACCTCAGTCTGCCTTCTCTGTACCTCAGTCTGCCTTCTCTGTACCTCAGTCTGCCTTCTCTGTACCTCAGTCTGCCTTCTCTGTACCTCAGTCTGCCTTCTCTGTACCTCAGTCTGCCTTCTCTGTACCTCAGTCTGCCTTCTCTGTACCTCAGTCTGCCTTCTCTGTACCTCAGTCTGCCTTCTCTGTACCTCAGTCTGCCTTCTCTGTACCTCAGTCTGCCTTCTCTGTACCTCAGTCTGCCTTCTCTGTACCTCAGTCTGCCTTCTCTGTACCTCAGTCTGCCTTCTCTGTACCTCAGTCTGCCTTCTCTGTACCTCAGTCTGCCTTCTTTGTACCCCAGTCTGCCTTATCTGTTCCACAGTCTGCCTTCTATGTACCTCAGTCTGCCTATCTGTACTTCCGTTTGCCTTCTCTGTACCTCAGTCTGCCTTCTCCTTACCTCAGTCTTCCTTCTCCCTCTCTCAGTCTGCCTTTTCTGTACCGCAGTCTGCCTTCTCTGTACCTAAGTCTGCCTTCTCTGCCTTCTCTGTACCACAGTCTGCCTTCTCTGTACCTCAGTCTGCCTTCTCCTTACCTCAGTCTGCCTTCTCCCTCTCTCAGTCTGCCTTTTCTGTACCTCAGTCTGCCTTCTCTGTACCTAAGTCTGCCTTCTCTGTACCTCAGTCTGCCTTCTCTGTACCTCAGTCTGACTTCTCTGTACCTCAGTCTGCCTTCTCTGTACCTAAGTCTGCCTTCTCTGTACCTCAGTCTGCCTTCTCCTTACCTCAGTCTGCCTTCTCCCTCTCTCAGTCTGCCTTCTCTGTCCCTCCGTCTGCCTTCTCTGTACCTCAGTCTGCCTTCTCTGTACCTTAGTCTGCCTTCTCCTTACCTCAGTTTGCCTTCTCTGTTCCTCAGTCTGCCTTCTCCGTACCTCAGTCTGCCTTCTCTGTACCTCAGTCTGCCTTCTCTGTACCTCAGTCTGCCTTCTCTGTACCTCAGTCTGCCTTCTCTGTACCTCAGTCTGCCTTCTCTTTACCTCAGTCTGCCTTCTCTCACGCTATCTTTCTGTATCTCTCACTTATACTAAAAACTAAGAAGTGTCTAATATGCAAACATACTAACATTTCTATTGGTCAACTGTAGATGGACAGCCATCAGGTGGTCAATAGAGGTTCCCAGCTCCAGCCTGT